GCTGTTATGCGATTTTGCTGTTATGCGATTTTACCACACTCGCAAAATCGCACACAGCCGACCATATAACAAACTCTGTATTTTGAGTGGAAATGTTAGGGGGTCGTCTTATAAGCCGAGTCGTCTTATACGCCGGCAAATACGGTAATTGGAATTGTGAATCTCAACATGACTAATTAACAACCAGCTAAAGCAAATTTCCATTTTATCACATTGTAAAGAATTTTTTCTGGTTTATTAAAATCTAATTCATGTTGTTATAATTATTATAACTTCCAAAAGCTAGTTTTAAAAAATTATCAGTTTAAGCATGCTGTTTCTTTTCTGAAGTAATTTCTCTGTTTTTAAGTTTATTTGTTAGCCTTTTGTAAATAATTTTGGGTTTCACTGCTGCATGATATGATTTGGGTTTAATCTGGTAACTTATTAATGTATAGGACAAGAAAACAAAACTCAGAATAAATTTAATATGCAAACTGTACTCTTGAAAAGATCTAAAACTCTAAACTGGTTTCCTTTCTCTGGGCTCATTTTTGTTCAGATTAGACGAATAGACCAACCTGTGGCTTTCCTGCAAGAAGTCTATAGAAATTCTGTGAAAAATCTTTCACCAACGGATATAATTACATATATAGAAATATTAGCAGAATCATCACCATTATTGGGTTATACGAATAGCACTAGCTCAGACAAGGACACCCTTGCTAATTCAACTCTTGCTGTAAGTATGCTGAACTTTAACTCAGTTCATTGAGCTTTAAAATTTTCCTTACATCTGTGATTAATGTAAGATTCCAACAATTTTAAAAGATATTTCTTTTTTCAACAGGAATTTGTAAAAACTGTGAATAATTTTGTTCAAAAGGAAACATTTATATCTTGGGACAAGTTACCTACGAATCGTAGAAGAACTCATCTTACAAAACTGATGCATGCTGCCGAACAAGCTACCTTAAATATATCTCAGAACTTCCAAAAGACCACTCAGTTTTATACTAATTCAAGTGATGTAGGTAAGAAGCCAAGGTCAATAGTGTTTTTCAAACAAGCCATCCTCAAAAGGGAAGGAAAGCATTTAAAATACTGTTAATGAAATTGGCAATTGTTTTATCAATGTACAAATGAATGGTGATGCATATTACAAGAGCAATATGAATGAAAGATGAGTAAAAATGATGAATACATAGCATTGCTTCATTCATACAATCTCCACCTTTACCTATTCCTGAATTGTTTAGCACTTAAATGCTCAAAGTGCATTACTCCTTTGCCATTTTGAGTTATCTCATGATTTGTTAGGATCTACCTTGACCAGTGATAGTGACAGACAGATTTTTATGGATGTAGTATATTTAAATTTCTCTTTAGGAATCCTTTGCCTTTTGATAATATAAAGCAATTTATATAGTAAATTAGAATGTTTCCTGCTTTATGCAATCTCATACTTAAAACATTAGGAATCTTGGATCAAATTGAAGATGCCCATAAAGTTGTTCTGAGAAACAAGGTACATTTTCTGAAATAATCATTGTATCTATCCTTACTATATTTTTTTGGAGGCATCCTGCTAGGCAGCAGTAGATATACAAAGATCAATATCTCATCAGAATTTAGCACTTGACTCAAAATTAATGTAGCAAGCATTGTGACATATATAAAAGCATACGTTTCTATGACGTTCCTGCATGTCAAGGGTGAAAACACCCCAGGTAAGGAAACTAGCCCTCAAGAATTCAATTCGATCCATCTCCAAATAGTAAATTATATAACAGATACCATCCTCTAAGACATTATAGTTCCTACTCTTTGCTTAGGTAACTATGACATATAGCTCCCTTGTGTTCATTCATGTTTTATCTTTTAATTTAATAAAGATAAATATAAACCATGAATGTTATAGTAAAATCAAAATTTTAAACTTGAATTAGATTTTAAGACAGAAATTATAATGTTCAAACATGTTTAGAATATGTTCATTCTACTTGCCATAAATAAGAAGTTGAAATAAAATATTGACGGATGAAATTATCTTCAACTAAATAAAAACATTGATTAAACTAATTGCAGGGAATTTATGATGTTCATGGTTTTGTTTCAGCTCTGAAAGCTTTCTTTTTTGACTCACATCACATGAAACATACACACCCCCATATGAACGTGGACAGAGATTATGTAAAGATATTTCCAAAGAGAAAAGCTGCAGATGATTCAAATGGTAGGCTTTGACAATCTTATATACAATGTCAATGATTTGCAATAAATACTTATTGTATCATATATACATATAACATGTGTGGTTTCTATAGAAAAATATTTGATGTTTATATACAGAATTTCCATATTTGTACTTGAGATTTTTATTCTGATATAAATACCTGGGGAGATATTTTATTTTTTAATTATTTATTTTATTATATATTATATTTATTGGGGTGACATTAGTTAGTAAATTATGTAGGTTTCAAGTGTACATTTCTATAATATGTCATCTATGTATTGGATTTTGAGTTCACCACCCAGAGTCAGTTCTCCTTCCATCACCATATATTTGACCCCCTTTTCCCTCTTCTACCATCCCTCCTCCCCACCCCCATCCCGTACTCTGGTAACCACTAAACCATTATCTGTGTCTTTGAGTTTTGGTTTGTTTTGTATTTTGGTTGCTTTCAGTTTTTATCCCACATATGAGTAAAGCCATATGGCTCTTGACTTTTTCTTTCTGGTTTATTTTACTTAGCATGATAAACTCAAGATCCATCCATGTTGTCCCAAATGGTAGTAGTATTTCATCTTTTCTTATGGCAGAGTAGTATTCCATTGTGTATATATGTACCACATCTTCTTTATCTAGTCATCTATCGAAGGACACTTTGGTTGTTTCTGTGTCTTGACAATGAATAATGTTGCAGTGAACATAGGGGTACATATATTTTTATGGGTACACATTTTCAGATTTTTCAGGTAGATACCCAGAAGAGGGATTGCTGGGTTGTATGGTACTTCTTAATTGTTTGAGGAACCTACATACTGTGTGTGTTCCATTGTGATTGTACCAATTTACATTCCCACCAGCAGCGTATGAGGGTTCCTTTTTCTCCATAGCCTCTCCAATACTTCTTATTACTTATCTTGTTGATAATAACCATTCTAACAGGTGTGAGGTGAATATCTCATTGTGATTTTGATTTACATTTCCCTAATAGCTAGTGATGTTGATTATTGTTTCATATATCTGTTGGCCATTGTGTTCTCGGGAGAAGTGTCTGCTCAGGTCCTCTACCCATTTTTTTAGCTGGATTGTTTTTTCTTGTTGAGGTCTATGAGTTCTTGATATATTTTTGATATTAGTCCCTTATGGGAGGTGTTGTTTGCAAATACCTTCTCCCATTCAGTTGGTTGTTTCTTTGTTTTGTTGATGGTTTCTTTTGCTGTGCAGAAGCTTTTGAGTTTGATATTGTCCCATTCATTTATTTTTGTTTTTACTTTCTTTGCCTTTGAGGTCAAATTCATAAAATCCTCTCTGAACCCAAGGTCCATAAGTTTAGTACCTATGCTTCTTCTATGTAATTTATTGTTTCAGGCCTTATGTTTAGGTCTTTGATCCATTTTGAGTTAATTTTGGTATATAGTGACAGATAGCAGTCTAGTTTCATTCTTTTGCATGTGGCTTTACAATTTTCCTAGCACCATTTATTGAAGAGGCTTTCTGTCACCATATTATTCAACGTAGTATTAGAAGTCCTAGCCAGGGCAATCAGGCAAGAGAAAGAAATAAAAGGCATCCCAACTGGGAATGAAGAAGTTAAATTGTCACTTTCTGCAGATGACATGATTCTTTATATAGAAAACCCTAAAGACTCCACAAAAAAAGTATTAGAAAAAATAAACAAATACAGTAAAATTGCACGATACAAAATCAATGTACAAAAATCCATTGCGTTCCTATATACTAAAAATGAAATTACAGAAAAAAGAAATGAAGAAAAAAAGACATTCCTTTTGCAATTGCAACAAAAGGAATAAAATATCTAGGCATAAACTTAGCAAAAGATGTGAAGGACTTATATACTGAAAGCTAGAAGACATTTTTAAAAGAAATTGAAGAAGATACAAAGACATGGAAAGATATTCTGTGTTTGTGGATTGGAACAATCAACATAAATGGCCAAAATACCCAAAGCGATATACAGGTTTAATGTAATCCTCATCAAAACCCCAATGGCATTTTTTCAATAAATAGAACAAAAAAACATCAGATTTGTATGGAGTCACAAAAGACCCTGAATAGGCAAAGCAACCTAAGAAAAAAGAATGAGGCTGGAAGTATTAGACTTTCTGACTTCAATTTATAATACAAAGCAATAATAATCAAAACAGCATGGTACTGGCAGAAAAACAGACACACAGACCAATGGAAAGAATTGAGAACACAGAAATAAACCCACATATATATGGGCAGACAATTTTTGACAAAGGGAGCAAAAACATACAATGGAGAAATGAAAGTCTCTTCAATACCTGGGGAGAAATTTATCTGACAATATCTATATCTTTCTTGTCTTACCTCCAGCTTCTGTAACTGTCTGATAATGTTAAGATTTTGATGTAAATAAACAAGGAACTATGGGTTTACTACTTGCTTTGTAGCAGTCAATAGACACTATAATTTGCATAGAGTTTTAAACATTTTTTTCTTCAGTAATCCTTCATATTCCCAAATTTGTGATTGTGTGAGGAAGACAAATAGAGATACTGTTCAAAAAGATAGAAAGTTATTGTTTAGGCTTGGACTTTTCTTCCACATGCTATTTCTTATTATTTGTGCAGTACACTTTTCAACTAAACACAGGATTTCTTAAGAAATGGAATCAGACAGAGAATGCTAATTCTAACAGGTAACTTAATAGTTATCTAACGTATTTTCCTCATTTTATGGGTAATGAAACTAGGTCACAAAGAATTTATCAGGTTTGTCTCTAAGCCCATCAGCAGAGAGTACAGTGCCAACACTGGAAGGGAGGTAGTTGACAAAAAAATCAGCCCTGACCAGCTTTTCCTTGTCACCTAACCACAGGCAAGCCAGCAGCTTGTCTTTTTAATTTAACCATTTTTCTGCTGTCTTAATGCAATGCACTTAGAAAAAAATCTCTGCTGATAGTAGAATTATTGGGTTGTTCTTCCCCTATAGTTCAACATATATTACTAGGGAAAACATGCATTATAATATTTTCTTAAGAATGTATGGGTGGTCATAAATACAAATGAAAAATATATGCAATGACACACATATGGTGTTTTATAGACATCATTTCATAAACAGATATGTTGTCTTTATTATTTAAAAACTTGTACATTCATTCTCAGAAGTATGTGTTTTTAAAACAACTTTTATGGCACTAACGTAGGATTTTTATTTAATCCATAGATAGTTCCTCTCCATTTTTTTTTGCCATTTTTTTATTCAAAAGTAAGAAACAGATGGCTTTAAAACAAAGCTAAAATAACTAAGCCATACTGCCATTGAACCCATGGCTCTTCCATATTGCATCATATTCTAATTAACCAAGAATACATATAATATTTAGGAGCAAATCCAAAGAATGTGTTAAACTGTCATATTTTCAAAGATTTGGGAAGTGATTAGAAGTTGAAAATAAAGACACTGAAAATACTTATCATAGTGACAGATGATAAAATTGTCATGGAATTAATATCTCTAAGAGATCCTGTCTGAGTATATGGTAGTTTTGTTGTTCAATGATCATGCATGCAAACTCTGACATTTGAAAGGGACAATAATATCAGCTCTCGAGAAAGCAGAGGGAGAAAATTTGTTTTCCTCAAAGTTGGATCTTAAAAATAAGGGCAATTCTAACAAACTGATCAAACTCGTTCATTGATAATCCCATACATGTGATTATTCACTTATTGACAAAGTCAATTAGTGAAAACATGCATTAGTTCAAAGCTGCATAGTGCCATCAGTAGAAAATAAGTGAGGTTCAAGTGTATTTTTTAATCTTTTTTATAGGCTGAATTTTAGTCCCTATCATTAGTGAATAAACCCCTAATTTACTGAAAGAAAGTATAGATCTTATAAGAGAGCTAAAAGTTAGATCAGGCCCAGAATCATTGAGAAATCCTTGGAATTAAGAGGTTCAAAATGCTGAGAATGGACAAATACTGAGACAATATTCCAAAAGGAGGTCAAAAATGGATTTTGGAGCATGCTATGTGGCATGAATCTCCTTTTCCCTAATCAAAACTTGATCTTAAATATATTCCCTTAGAAAGGCTAGAGTGATTAGAAGATTTTTAAAATCTATCTTATCTTTTTGTTGCTTCGTTGGATTTTGGACTGTCTCCTACTACAACCTCTGAGAAATCACTGTTGCATGAACTGGGTCATAAACTGAACTAGACCCTGTTGACCTAAACATTTTCCAGGTTCTGCTTCAGGCCCTGGTCTGTCCATAGAAAGTCTGGGCTCATTGTAATCTCCTGGAGTCATCATAATTTCACTAGTCCAACCATGTTTTACTAACATTATTTCTTTCTTTGATATAAGCTTTCTAGGCTGCAAGTTTAGGGAAATACTGTATGTAATGTATCTGAATTTCTGCAAGGCCTTTTTAGATTAAGAAAGAACAGGGGTCGGCAAACTGCGGCCCACAAGCCGCATGCGGCTCTTTGCGTATGTACATGTGGCTCTGAAGTAAAATTGAAAATGAAAATAAAACTATCATAGTTTCATTTATAAAAATTTTAAAGGATATTATTCACATAATGGTGATTTCATTTGTTTTATGGCTCTCGAATAATTTTTAAATTGTTGTGAAGGACAGGATTGGCTCTTCCGTCTTAAAAGTTTGCCGACCCCTGAGATAGAAAATATGAACAGCAATGCATTTTGGCTACTTCTAGCTCACATAACCATATCCAAAGAACATTATTTATTAATGCAATATTGTGATTTACAGAGTTTCAGCTTTGTTTAACAGTCCATTGTTTTTGTTATTATCAACATTTATATTTATTATTTTAATTTATGTTTTTTAAATTATTTGCCAGTATCACAAATTTGAGGCAACAAATGAATATGATGGAGTTCTTTCTCAGTTGTCCAAGTATCTAATGCAAACATATAATGTTTCTAGTTAATAAGCATAACAATAATCGTAATAATATAGCATCTCAAAATTTGCAGAAGGCTCTCTAATGTATTATTTCATTGGTACCCACCTTATCCTAACAAATAACTTCAGTAAATATTACTATCATCATTTCATAAGTGAAAAAGCTGAAGTTCAAAGTAGCTGCTTTATCCATAGCTACATAAATAGGAGCAATGATTGAAGTAGAACTGATTCCAAGAGTAAATTCTAAATGCAAAGTGCTAAATTTAGTGTCCATAGTTCTGTACAATAAATAGAGGAGGAATATGACCTAAGTAACAACAGGAATTTTAAAGCTAATAAGTCTAGATATTGAGTCATCCACACTCTTAATATCAGTGATAATGAGCTGCTACAAAAACTAAGGCAACCAAGGCAGTTTGAGATCCATTAATATAAGTGTAGTGTCCAAGCTAAGAAAAAAGTAGTCACATGATAGTCCGTACTGATCAAGTTACATGTCTAGTATTGGGTTATATTCTGATGTACTGCAATTGGGGAGCAGATAAATGACTGCCTTGGAAAATAATAAATTTCCTACCCTGAGACTGCCTAGCTATATGTCAATATTAAACAAAAAACATTTCAGTAGGCATGAGGTTGAACACAGTGGGATCTCACAACCTATTCAATTCTAAACTTTCTTAATACTGTTGAGTCTCTGTTAATTGCCTCCCAATATCTTTCTAACGCATGTATCTACACACACCAAAGCAATAACTCAAAGTTTTTCCTTTTATGTGACTACACGTTACACTTTGATTGTTAGTCAAGACTTGGATGTAAATTTACCTAGGACTATTTTTCTCCTAAATATAGTTTGTACAAAGGTGGTGCTACAGCCCATGATCAGAGAATATGTCTTAATACAGTTTGAAGATGTAGACATGAACTTATTATGACCCAAATTTCAATATCTGGGTATTTGTATGATTCCCTTAGAGTAAAAATTTGTCTGCTCAATTGTTGTTTATTTTAAAAGCTTATACATGTTTGTTTTATAAAAATTTCACCAAATGCACTTATTTGTTTGATAGGCAATGTTGCAGTTGCATTTTTATATTATAAGAGTATTGGTCCCTTGTTTTCATCATCTGACAAATTCTTATTGGACACTCAAAGTTATGATAATTCTGAAGAGGAAGAAAGAGTCATCTCATCAATAATTTCAGTCTCAATTAGCTCGAATCCACCCACATTGTATGAACTTGAAAAAATAACATTTACATTAAGTCACATAAAGGTAAGTTATTTTTCTGGTGATTATTATGATTGTGAAACACTCTGAGAAATAAGCATTTTTTGTGATGTCACTTTAATTATATGTGAATTCTTGAGTTTAAAAATACAAGTTTAAATTAAAATAATAAAGTGGTTAAAACTAATTTTTCTATATAATATTTTTTATGCTTTCAGTGCTCTTTCAACTGTCTAGTAAATACCAAAGAATTTCACATATTTGATTTTCTGAAATTAAGCTATATTTTATTTTTATTTTTTAAGTGTATACATTGTTCATTTTGGAGTCTCTGTACCCTTACGGAATGAGTTTTAAAAATGTATCAGTGTCAAAGAGATAAATGTCACTTGTGTAATGAAGGCAGTGTTTGGTTAGTAATTGCCATTTAAAATAATATTTGTACAGATTCTGGTGCTGATTAAAACAAAATCACAGATAAGTTTATAATATTTCATAAAGAAATTAACTGAGGTAATTTTACTTTTATTATTATTCTAAATCTTCTTTTCAAATTCATATATAATTGAAACCATACAATAAAAGATCATGATTAGAAATAAACAAGTATTTAGTATTTTTATATACCTAAAATGAATGAGGAAACTCAAAAATCATAGATTTCTGCCTTTTTACAGTTTAAGTTTTTGGGGGGCTTTCAGTAGAATTTCAGTCCTAGTACATGATTAAAATACCTCTGATGTTCCATTTGGAGAGCCTTGAAACTGGCCAATTACACTGACATGTTAATGTGGGAGGGATGGGACTAAAAGAACATATATGCTTACCTACAATATTAATGTGTCATGATAAATATAAACATCTAATGTAGAGAGAAACTAAATTCAAGAGAATGCAAGAAAATAGTAGCTCAAACCTCAACATCAGTGAGTATTATGTTGAGAGAGGTAGGTTTGAAATGTATTAAGAATGGAAACTAAACTTTAATATTTTCAGATGCTAAATGCAAATGATATTTCTGACACTAGAAACCAAACACTGTTCTTTTACCTAGTTTGATGATTTTTGTACAGGTTTTATTAGTGAATGTTTTGGCAGCTGAAGAGATTAAGGACAATCCACTTCACCAATCTGTTTGGCACAGCAACCAGACAAAATATACATTTAAACAAAAATTCTCTGCCATGCTTAATGGGAAAACTTTATTGTCCTTAATCTGCCTTGCTGTTCAAATCTTTTTCCAATTCAAAGTGATGACCATTGCAAACTTTCATCACTTTCCTTGGATAACACACATACTTAATCCATGGCTCCCTCTCCCTGAGAATAAAATTTGAATCCTACTTTTTTCTCTGAGAAAATAGGCACTATCTCATATAAAACACCTTCACTTTCCTGATTCCCTAATAATATTTTTGCAACTTCCCCATTAGTATATACTTCTCTATTACCTCAGAGGAATATTAATAGTTGTCATAATAATATTAATAATAGTGATATCAACCAGTACTTTAACAATGCTTATAGGAGACCAGGCCTTGTTCTAAGTTCTTTACTTTAAAAAAAAAAAAAGAAAAAAACCCCAAAACAAAACAAAAAAAAAACTTATTATCACAAGAGCCCTATGAGGTATGTACTATTATTTTCATTTTATAGATAGGAAACTGAGACTCTGTGAGATTAAATAACTTATTCATGATCACTCACAACAAGCTGGTAGAACAAAGTGTTACTCCCAGGAAGGCTTCCTCCAGAATCCAGGCCCTCAGCAGCTATGATACACTCCTGCCCAATGCTGTTGTCTGATTTCCTCGTCCCCCAGCTGACTTGCAAGAAATTACATGCTTCATCCATTATCTCATCTCTCCTGGATCCCTGCACATTAGTTTCAGTGTCTCCACTAACACATAGACTCAAGTTTCTGTCTTTCTACAAAAAAACGGAAAATACTTGCCACTGACCCAGTATCTCCTTCACCCAAAACCCAATAACGCCTCTTATTTTAAGCGTCTAAAAAATAGGTATTATCTATTGACTTCCATCTATGGGAAATTTGAATATAATTTTCCTACACACATCTTCCCCTGTGATACAAAAACTCCCCCAACTATCCATCCTCCTACGCTTACCTCAAAGTTTTGGTTAAATCTGTTTTCAACGTGCGTATTATTATAATTTAGTATGTGCTATTCACTACTGAATCATGAGGCTGAACCATTTTCTTAATGTTAGTAAATTCTTCTAATTTACCTTGCTTAGATTTCTATTTATACATTACTAATTCATACTTAAACTTTCCGATATAACATATATCTCCTCGCAAAATAGTCAGACATGTAAGATAATCTATCAGCTAATGTGATGTCCTGAAGACACCCTTCCTAGGTCTCTGTAAACTTGATCCTATCTGGATGGTTTCCTCTTGGGCCTATGGCACAGCTGTCAGCCTGGACATGCCTTTCACCATCATCCTGGACATGCAACTCACCTCTCTCCTGTGTCAGATTCAATGTTTCCTTGTGCCAAAGTTTCCTCTTTCTTGGTTTATTTCTGTTTTTAAAGCATATTCATCAGTGCCTCTTGAGAAAAGGTGCACAGAAGACCAATGTTTTAAGGCATCTTATCTAACACTTGTTCAATACATTTCATGATATAGAATTATAAATTGTAAATATTTTTTTCTTCAATTTTTTTCTAGACCTTGAGCAAAGCAAGGTTGTCTTCTAGCTTTTAAGGTTAACCTGGAGAAGTTGAATGTAATTAATATTTTATTTAAAATTTGCAGTCTTTTGTGTGTAATCAGTCTCTTTCTCTCAAACTTTTGAGATCCTATCTTTATTCTCAGAATTCTGATCTAAGATGAATGTGGGTGTGGGTCATTCTTCATTACTTCTATTAGACATTATGTGAGTCTGTTTCGTCTGAAAATGCATGGCCTTCAGTTCCAGGGAATTTTCTAACATTATATCTTTGCTAATTTCTTCCTCTCCAGTGTTCCTGTTCTCTTCTCCTGTTAGTCCTATTACTTGGGTTTAGACTTCCCAGCCAAGATGCCAGGTGTTGTTTTTTTATTTTTATTTTCTTTTGTTTTCCATTTTTAAATTTTTTAGTCTGCTAGCATTTTGATTTCAACTGTATACTTAATTCACTGAAAACCTTAATTTTTTTATCCTAATTTCATTTAATGGGTACAGTATTTCTCTCTCTGAGATATATTTCTTTTTTCTTTTTTTCTTTTTTTTTTAATAACTGTTTTCTGCTTCCTCTATTGTGTTGCTCCTGATTTCCTTTGTTTGGCTTATGTGCCTTTGTTCTCTGTCTTTCATGTTACAGCTTGTCCTCTGAGGTCTGATGGTTCATTACTATCCATTCACACCTAATTATGAGGCATTTGAAAGGTGACTGAAAGCTCAGGTGGCAGCTGTGCGCGTCACAAGAAAGTTATCTTCAGGCAGGCTTCTACCCTTTGGAAGATCCTGCACGTCACTACCTAATAGTTGTTTCTCTTGGGCCTATTCGTTTCGCAGAAGGGATCCTTTCATGGTGAGCAGAAATGGGAGCTCAGCGTGTAGACAGATTCTCACTTAACCCCATTTTTTTGAATGACACCTGTACTCTCTGCTGACTCTGGTTTCCCAATTCTAGAGTCCCTCTGGTTCCTCTGGCTTATCTGGTTTCCTGGAAGAGAAGGATTGGGCATTTTCCTGGCTGTTTTGGGGGAACTGGATCTAGAGTTTCAAATTTCCTCACATAGCTTGACCTCTTTAAAAAACTTCTTGTCATCTGTCCAATTTTAGCTCAATCACTGTCTTTCCAGATTCACTCCAATCTAATTCAGTCTTTCACCAGTGCTCCAACTGCTGACCCAGTGCTCCAAGTGTTGGGTTTAGCATATTACCCATTAAATCCACTGTCTGATTGTATTAAAATCATCTGAGTTTCTATCATCCTTAAGGGCAGATACAATACATTTTTAACAGAGAATCTCTGGCTCCTCACACAAAGCCTATCACATATTTGATACTCAACTAATGTTTTCTTAATAAATGGTTGTCTGAAGATTCGTGTTTGATTCTACAATATGTTACTCCACTTAATAATGGTAAGTCTTGAATATATTTTTAGACACCTCTTGGCCTCTTAACACAATACCTACTTCACAGGACCCTTTTGATGGTCAAATCAAACAAAGTAGGTGAGAAAGCACCTGGTTAAACTGTAAATTGTTATGTAATTGTAAATAGTTTTTTTTTATTTCTACAAGACACAAGTATAGGGTGCTCAGTATTCTATGATTAAGTTATTATCAAAACTCTTGGAGTATTAGATATTGTGTGATGATTAGTTAATATAAATATATGGTAAAGAGAACTCTACTATTTATTGAACAACCATCTAGTAGTCTGATCGGCCCCTGTCTAATGTGTTCTTGTCTTCACTATACTTTGTCTCATTCATTGTGCTCCAAATACACTGGTTTCTACATGTTTCTGGAAGACCCTGTTCACTCTCACCACAAACTTTTTCCATTTTCCATTCCAACTGTCTGGAACCTTCTCTGCTCAAGTCTTCAGGGCTCACTCTCTCACTTCACTAAGGCATTTGCTTTGACAGAATCTGGGAAACACCTCCTCAGATCAACCTCCATCCTGCTTTTCCTTCTCTTTTCTCTGGTTTAGTTTTCTTGTTTAATAATTTCTCAGCTCCTCACAAGAATGGAAGTTCAACAATGCAAACACTTTTTTTTTTTCGGTGTTGTATTTTTAGTACCGGGATCAACAACTAATATCTAGTATATACTCAATAAATATTTATTGAATAAAGATGATATGGTAACTACGTGTGTCATGCACTGTTCTAAATGACAGGTACATGATCTCATTTGATAATTTTCACAACTTTTGTGACACAGGGTTGATAAAATATAGTACTGTTGCAATGTAAACTTCACTTCTTCCAAATAACAGCAGCATTCACTTACTAGCATTGATTTTATGCTTCACTTTTTAGACATGGTTTTATTTATATTGATATGCAAAGTGGTATTTTAAATATTACAAAATGATACCATATGTGTAACTTTTTCTTTTTTTTCCATCAGTAAAATGTCTCTTTTTCAGATCACAGATAAACATAGGAGTCAATGTGCATTTTGGGACTACTCGCCTGACAATATGAGTGGCAACTGGTCTTCAGAGGGCTGTGAGCTGACATATTCTAATGAGACCCACACCTCATGCAGCTGTAATCACTTGACACATTTTGCAATTTTGATGTCTTCTAGTACTTCCATTGTAAGGCTATTTTCCACTTCATATTTGTAAATCTATGTATTTTTTTATGTCATTCAAGAAAATAATTTTATATGTTTTCTTTGATTGTAAATAGCATATTTAATTGATAAAACCCCAACGTTATTTTTCTTAGTCTTTGTTTTTCTTACCTGCCTTCTATGACATATCTAGTCTGGATTTTAGATTATTTTTAGTCTACAACCTACCTAGTTTGTAATAGGTAGTAGATTGTATGTTAAGTATCTGTCCATTGACTCTTTGTTTTCAATGCTGCTCTTAAGGACCATTTATACATTTTAGTGTATCATGGACTTTATGGACTTTTGGCTTTGTGATGAAAGTTTATTTTTACCAATGAAAAATTAATTTAAAATATTTTATACCTGATCAATAAGCATTAGTACAATTATAAATACCATGTTTTAATAATGTAGAACCCCACAAGATTTTAAACATGAAAAATCTCTCTAAGGTGAAGAGCTGCATAATATGTATTTCACATCAGTAACATCTTGCTTTTATATTATATAATATCTTATTTCATATCTCTGCATGGTAATCTTTATAGATTACAGGTTTATTTCCACATATACTTAGGCTGTACCAAGTATATAAAGTGGCCAAATAAATCTGCCTAACCACATCAATCATAAAGATGATTTTTTTTCTGAATGTTAAGTAAGCAAAGAAGCCTTTATTCTGTATATGAAAAATAAATATTCATCTAGGTAGAATAAAATCAATCCTTCTCATTTCAAAGTCTCTCAAATGCACTGTTTTGATATTCTATATATTCAGCATTCCTAATACCTTTGTTAATGTGTTTTAGATGAATCACTGCATAGAAATGACTTGTTCTTTCCACTAATAAATCTTCTTTAATTAACCATTTTCACTGCATAATAATGAATTGCCATTCTAATATCATGAAACTGATAATATTGTTAAACCATATATTAATATATATACTATGCATAGAAAAAAATCAGTAATTACAGAACTGTTAAAGTGCCACAGGATTTATATCAGATTTCTCAGAATATTGAGCATTTTCAAAAGTCATCTAAATGCACATTGCAATTTTTACATTTTATGAACATTTTGATTAGTGTTTCACCAAAAAAAGGAAGTTCATTATATATTGTAGTTCCTTTGACAAGTTACTGAGTTATTCTCTTAACAGCTTTATTATTATTTTCCCTTAGGGTATTAAAGATTATAATATTCTTACAAGGATCACTCAACTAGGAATAATTATTTCACTGATTTGCCTGGCCATATGCATTTTTACCTTCTGGTTCTTCAGTGAAATTCAAAGCACCAGGACAACAATTCACAAAAATCTTTGCTGTAACCTTTTCCTTGCTGAACTTGTTTTTCTAGTTGGGATCAATACAAATTCTAATAAGGTATGTAGATCTCCTTTCCTCTCTATTTTTATTTTTTAAATTTGTACTTTTATAAATATATGTATGTCACAGAAACATGAATTATATTTAAGGGTTTAATGGGACAAAAGCACTATATACTTTGTTCTTAAGTCTTTTCTAAGTTTGATATTGTTAATAAATCTAAGCAACCTGCTTATCAATTTACTTAAACACAACATCTCTCATTATGATGAAATATTGGGACAAATGAAAACCTTGCAACAAACTGAAGAAATAACTTTCTTTGTTTTGTTTTTACATGGCCATTAAGCAAAGGCAGAGGGGAGAGAGAGAACTATAGATAAAGTTTATCTTAACATGGGGAATGAACATAACAGCAGCTAGAGTTCATAGGTTGAACTATGATAAATTGGCTCTACTTAGGACTGCACTTTCCTAACTACTGATTTTCCACCATTATTGATTGAGGGCCTTACCAAATTCCATATTGTGTTAGTCTGGGTCCCCCTAGAAGCAGACAATAAAATGGAATTAAATGTGCAATGCATTTATTAGGCAAACTGACGGTGAAAGAAAATGGGGAGAGATTTGGAGAGCCATCAGACCAATCTAAGGGTCTGATTGCAAGTGGAGAGAAGAAAGAAAGGATGAGTGGGTGTAAGCACTTTACACAGCAGTGCAGCTCTAAAGAAAGTTTAGCATGGTTTGTCAAGGAGCCCTTTGAGAAGACTTGAGCCAAAGTCACATGGCAGAGGAATCCTCTGTCTCCCAAGAACAGGAAAGTTGTTTGTTGTCTTTTTTTTAAAGATTTTATTGGGGAATTGGGGGGAGGGGAACAGCGTTGGGGAATT